AGTGTGTGTGTAAGTGAGCAGAGCGACGCTGCCATATATTAAGTGCAATGAACATAAACATGTGATGATACCGAAATGCCTTGTCTGCAAGATCAAGATAGTAGTTGACCTGAGTATCAAACTCTATTGGCTTTGGCCTACTAGGATCTTCAAACCCACCAATGCCAAATGGATATAGTGTTGGAAACATACCTGGAAACAAGTTAGGATTGTTGTATTCAGAGACAGGCAGCATACCATGATGAACTACAAGATCAGGTTGCGATGCAGTTGGATTAACTATACTTCTTATTGCCGCAGCAGTAAAGCTTCTCCCACTAAGTTTATCTCCTTCTGGATCTGACATGCCCATTTTCTCCATCATAAGTTGTGGTTCATTTGATAGAGGGCAGCTTTTGGCAAATAATTCTGCAGGATGTTCTGAAAAGCCTGCCGTTTCATCTTGAAATATAAGTGTAGTATCCATTCTGTGATCTTCGACAATTCGTGAACTAAGACCCGGTAACACATCATCTTCAGGATACATATCAAGTGCAGACAGATCAAAAGTCATATGTTTATACAACTTGTTATGACTCTTAAGCCACAGTAAGAAGCTCCAAATCTTACGCTTCCGCACACGATACATGTTTCCTACGTACTCAGGCTTAAACTTATGTGGACCAATAAAAACAACTGTAAGCATACCAGCAACATCGGCAGGTGTTCTTGGAAGCACTGATGCTGTGGAAACAACATTTAAATCATGTGCACATGTGTTTCCATGAAACACCTTTGGCTGTGCAGGGTCAGATGACTGATAAATTCTTGTGACATGTGCAGTGCTACGGTAGATTGCACAAACCATTTCTTCAACCCAGGTTATATCATTGTATTGCTCAGGCAGACAACCACGATACAGATTATTAACTAAGCCATATTGTGGTGTAGTACGATGTTGTATTGCTGTATAGCAGCTCGAACAAATTTTGATAGCTGTGACCATGCCATTATCATAAGTCAGCCCTTTCTTGTCCAACATACAGCCGTCTAACCTCGAGTCCTTAAAAACAAACTCAGAGCTATTCTGTTTAACTACGCAGTTTTCTAGAATGAAAGGATCTGTGATTTGGAATGCAGATAATACTTGCTTATTCAGCAGTAAACCATCCATCTTATATTCAGAAATATGAATCTCATGTGACTGACGAGCACATACAGCACAAATTGAAGGTGAATGCCACTGAGTATGAGTGTAATAATTGTTCAGACAGTTAAGAATCACATTGTGAGGAACAAGTTGTGGCCATGCATCAATATATGCTTTTGTCTCTGCACTGTCCTGTTCAATTTCTAACGCCTTTTCAACTCTACGCTGCTCTTTCTTTGCATCACTGTTTGTATGAGACTCCATGTTTAATTTATCAAAAATCTCAGATGGAACACTTGACTTTAGTAGCTTGAAAATCAGTTCACTACGAGGACTACATAACTCACTCTGAGATAAGAATGGTAAATGACACAAGATAGTATTCAAAAACTTTGAAGATTCAACTTTGAATAAGTACTGGGACAACTCAACAATATGCTCAACTATAACTGTGCAACGTGCATGACGTTTTACCGGCAATTGGTTTGTAAACGTAATACCATAGTTATAAAGTGTTCGCATTAACACAGATGACAAACGGTGAATAAGAACACTAGCTGGAGTGACAAACCAGGGTAATTCTATACATAATTCTACAGGCGGTATGGCATATCCAATTAATGGATGTTCCTCAAAAAGTGGAGAGTTCGCAGAACGTATTGCTAGTGCTACAGGTTCACCATACAATTTAATATACAGAGCACTGAGCAGAGCATACCGGGATTTGAGAAGTTGATCATCACCATGCAGACACTTTGCTACATCTTCATTGGACATGATAGCAACAGATGCACGACTCAATTGAAAGTCAACAAGAAGTCTTCTGCAAATCTCAGACTTGTTACGGTCTTTCTGAGGTATTAAACAGTGAGATGACACAGCTGCAGACTGCAGAGTATGAAGACTTAACCTTTGGAGTGTACGCAAATACTGTTCATCAGACAAATAGAACCATGAGGGATTGAAATCTGCCATGGCTAAAGTCAATCGCTTACGCTACTTCAGTCCGAAGATTTAAAGGTGTTTCAACACAAATCCTTAGTGTACTTGAACAGCGTGCTTGAAGACAAATACTTAATGTGCTTGAACACAAAATATTTAACGTGCTTGAACACGAAATGTTTAACGTGCTTGAACACGAAATGTTTAACGTGCTTAGACACGAACTCAATCAAAACAGCACTGCGAAACTGTGAACACAGTATCACAAATAGCAACTGCATTGTGCAAATTAAACTGTAAGTATCCATTTGAACAAGTCAACAAGCATAGACGCACCTATTTTGCAGCTACACTTGTCCGAAACAGTCGCAAAAAATGCGAAAACTATGTCTTCAAGAGAGCAGGTCCACGTAGATTCTACATGGTTTAGTGGTGAATCAGTAGATTAGTAATAATACGAGAAGAAGAATACACTCACATGCAAAACAGAATGATGTCGTATAGCAACTCGTCGAGGAGCGACACTGAGGTGTAACGTCGTCCAGCAGCGCCAACATCGTCGAGAAATCGAGCGCGCACGTGATGTTTGCGAGCGCCATCCTACGTGAATAGACCTGCGCTGGAACACCGTGGGCAGGTCGAGCGCAAGGGCGGAACGTTCGCGAGCGCGATCTTACGTAAATAGACCTGCACTCGAACAATGTCGACAGGTCCAGTGCAACAGCGACGTTCGCGACCGGAATCCTAGACGGAGTCAAGACTCAAATCGTAAGTGTTATTACTCAACTTATTTACTGATGTTGTTTTCGCACAACTTCATTCGCAGAGGCGTCTGCCGTTTCCCCTTGCCAAAGCCCTCCTCCAGTTCCTGGAGTCGGGGATCTTTGAAGGCCTACATCAGGAATATTGCCCTACGAGGCGTCCCTGAGTACTGAGTGCCCACAGGATGACTGCCACAGATCACTCGTTTGTAACCTAAGACTTGCAGGGACATGTCGGTACAGCAGATGTCGCCTCGTTTGCGAACCCATCTACGGAGAGAACATGGATCCAAGATACATCCGATATCTGGAGATCGAGCACCGATCATCCACTTCAGATCCGCGAAGATGATGCGTCACCTTCACAAACTGGGTCGCTCTGAAATTCTCTGCAAAACCGGCGAACTTTCAATGGCGCATTTGTGTTTTTGTTCGTTAGGATTGGATTTACCTCGAAATTCTACAGATATGGCTGGTATGAAGACATTCGCAGCAAGTTTTGATGTGTGAAAAATGGAGGAAGATGGCGGCGATGGTGTGTTGTCTTATTATTTGCTTTTGAGCTGACGGTACGTGAGCTATACTGCCATTGCTTGTGTAGATTGCGCTCCGCGTAAGATATGAGTGCCAGCTCCTCTCAAAGCAATTCGAAATTATATTGACGATTTGTGTCATATCCGTTGCAAATGCTTTCCCTCTTCCTCGATACCAGTTTGAAACCGGGCTGAAATTTGGAACTTGCCCGTCGTGACGCTGTGAATCCGTTCAACCTGGGCGTTGACCGCTGCGTCAATGGCATGCCGCTCGCCAAACTTGATGACGATGATTCTCGTGTGCAGGCCACAGGGGTACGAAGAGCATCGGGGTTCCGTGGGCAGGACGACGCAGTCGTGCATTGTGTCGCTATTCATTCATTATCCGAAGCCGATCGATGACGATGAAGACACGTAAGGACACCGCTGTTGTTCTGTGGACTGTATCTGACTTTGCTACTGCAGTTTGCAGCGGAGTTGCGCTAGCGAAATAAAGATATACCGTGATCCATTGTGAGACGCACCCGACGCTGTAACCTATTGAACCCGCTTCTGACTCTTTTCGCCGCTTCTGGATGTCGTACTCATCCACAAGGCCGTCCTCAACGATATCCTCCTCCTTCGGGAAGGCCCTTCCCCCAATCGGATCAAAAAGCGCTGGAGGACCGATCTGGCGTTAGATGCATCAAAAGGAAGCTCGAAGCAAAAATTTGAACGAGCGAATGATTGATCTGCGACGGTCTGCGGATCGAATCTGTGTGGAAGCCATCCGAAGGCCCTGGTGGAGCGATGGTCCGTGGAAGAGATAGGCCGTCCATCGATCGCTATCTTGCGATGTACAGCAGTGCTCCAGAGAGGAGGGCCATTGAACGGCAATTTGCGTAGAAGAAAGCATGAACAAAGACAGTTTGAGACGTCCAGCTAGTGGCGGTGAGCAGGACCGGAGGTTGGACGAGCTTTGGCACAATGCTAGATGCAAGCCCCGAGCATACGTCTGGTCCCTTGACGTGTCGCGACGCTCACAACTCTTCACACGCTGACGTCACCGTGCTGTGCTCACGATGGCTCGCTGTGGGCATTACCGCCCTATTTCACATCCCTAGTATGGCGACGGTACCGACATCATACTACGCCCGAGAGATACTGCTGCATCTCGAAGGACGACTTGACATCAGGGTGGATGATGGGGTCTCAACCTACAAGTTCTCGTCTCGAGAGCGGATGTCGTCGCGCGAGTGCGTAATTTGGAATCACCTATGGTCGACCAGTGACAGAGACTTCGAGAAGCCCCGTTGAATACTCCACGTCCTTCACTTCCCTCACTGTTACTCCCCTTCCAGTTGCGGGACCTGTACATGTGGATTGTGCCTCAAAGGCGTACATCGCGTCTGACGTTCTGGACAATATCCAAGGCAAATGAAATTTAGAAGTGGTTGATGAAGGAGACAGGATGGGCCTCTCTGATTGAGCCCTCGTATAGATGTGCGCTGAATAACTGATTCATTGGCCGCAGCCCCAGCTGATCATTTTTCCAGATTTGCGGCGAACCTGTCTAATGTCTTCGGGTTTTAGATAACACATCGAACTTTTCGTCGCATTCCCCTCACCTTATTCCTCTCCAATCACCCATTGAACATGAAACGCGGAGATGAACGAGAACTTTACATTCCCCTGGACTCGCTCTCAATATCCTTCGTTCTTCTTGCGATCCGCTATCGCGTTCATCAGCTGTACCCTCGCGATCCTGAGCTACTGGAGCACATGTGGAAGTTCAACGCGGGCGAGGGCGATCAGACTAAGTGCAGGAATATCAGCGAACCTCGGAAGTGGAAGCAAAGCCTGGAGGATGCTGCGCTCGGCATGACCTTGTTTCCGCCGCAGATGAAGTTGCGGGTGGGGAAGTGCGAGCGGCATCGCTAATGAGGACACAGTCTTATCCCGCCCGTTTGCCTGCCGTTACACTGGATGCACTCACGGGTGCGACGGAACGTAATGGATGAATGACGGCGGCAAATCCGAGCAGGCGGTGATCGACCTTGTAGAAGAGGATGCTCGACTTGCGGCAAGTGTAAGCCGGTCGTTTTCATCACTGCTCGCTAAAGACAGAGGCGCGTCCAGTACACTCGAGGTGCCCATGCACAATTAGGACGACCCGCATAGACGTTTGTGGCTGTGCTTTAGATCTTATCTCATGGACCTCCGCTACTCTCCCGGGGCCCCGTTAACAGGAGAAGATATTGGCGAAAACGTTGTTTGCCATGTCTTCAGCAAAACATGCACTGACGAAGTTCAATGGGACGGTGGACAAAACACTACACGAGGAATGCACATCCCGTGCTGGACGCACTGCGTGTGCCACGGCGAGCAGAAGTGGCTGAAGCGACTAGGGAGGGCGCTCGTTCTGGCCGAAGACGCTCGTGTTGAACTCCTAGAAACCATCAAATTCTCCCTCACGCGTGCCAAACTGGGCTTCCTATGTCCCGCAAAACCTCCACGGATAACTCACCGGCTGCGCTCGCGGAGAGGATGTTGTTTGCTAGCTACCGCAGGGCTGGCCGAGGCCCGCCATCGCCGCGTTACAGGTGGCGCAGGATGTGTAAGCGCGGTTCTTAAGAATCGACGACCCGGAGGGTAGCCCGATAACGGAAGATGTGGGCCAAAATCTGAGCGAGAGGCTGGGAGATGAAGGTTACACCACCTGGGGGCGGTGTGTTCGCATTGGGCTGTGAAGGCAGTTCGGCACTCGGCTGCGAACAGTTGCACAAATATACGCCAATTGCAAAGAGTGCGGACTTTTACCGTGTTCTCGAGTAGTAGCGTAATCAGCGAAAATTGAATGTTCGAGTAGGTGATGAATCGTTGAATTGCGTCGTCGCACGACGGTCTGAGTAAAATCTTATTATCTGAGGTCTGAGGAAATGCAGGACAACATACCGGACGGCGGTGACGTGGAGAGCGATTCTTGGCCGTGATAACATGCGCCCGTCGAGGCTGTATTCGCCGATGCGTAAGCCCTCGCAAGTATTGACAATCGCGGTGATTGAGGCCACCGCATGAACGCCAACTGACCGCTAGGAACCCCACGGGCTCACATTTGAGAGAACGTAGAACAGTAGCGGCATTGTAGGAGCAACGTCCTTCTTTGTTCGCACTTTGATGCTCGAATGCCAGACGTCTTGGCAGACGAGGCGGAGGAGTACACGCCCAGGCATGGAAGTCGATTCGGAAGCCGTGCAAATATTACCATCACACAACATAGGCGAGCACGTTAACGACAAATATAGCTCTAGATGTAAAAATACAAGTGAGTTCCAGACTTTTGAGGATATATCGACGAACATTGATTATGGAGGTCGATGAGAGCGCCTCGGAGTATTGCACGGTCACCTCCGGGGAGCATCGGGGATCGTCGACAACGCTCGTAACCTGTCAGGAAGGTCAGTGAGTAATCGAGCATGCGCTGCATTACTGGATGGTGAAGGCAGAACATAACGGTGGGAATAGTGGAGCATGCGAAGACGTACTTCGCAGTGAATTCACTCAATGGCAAGCACTTCGAGAACAGCTTGCAGGAGCTCACCACTTCCGCCTATTCCCCGCCAGCCTCTCGCAAATGTATGGGACGAGTATTTTGCGCGTCCCCGAAGGATGATTATCCGGGTCAGATGTAACGATCCTGACCGTTCTCGAGGTTGGGGGTAGGCGTATCGAGAATGTCGATCCTGCGAACGGGGCACGCGAAGCCGAGAGCATGCATGGTAGTCGGTCGGGCAACCGCTAGAGTAAGACAGAATGCGCCATGTCATCCCACTTCCCGTCCACGTAATACCACGAAACCGGAGGACGACGAGCGTATAGTTTGAGCAAATACTAGTCAAGAGGGGGGCGAAAGTATAATTTCAGACATCGTCAGGACCCCTGATAATACATATAAAGGCTACCTCTAAGTGGTGGGGTTCTGGTCCGGACAGTTTCTGGGTCATTTTGGTCCGGACACGGCTCAATCCTCCAGCTACAGGCCGTTTTGGTCCGGACGCGGATCATGCCTATGTAAAATCACTAATTTTTTCTCCCCGGCGCCGCGCGGCACCTGAGAGCCCTCGAGCAGTAGTAATGCATGTAAATTAAACGAAGTAATACGTTAGCAGCCAACAAAGCAGAGCACCCTCAAGTTTCCTCGTCCGAATCTACCGCAGCGTCGCGGGTACGCCGCGGTGGTTTCCCGAGCTGCCCTACAGCAGTTTGAATCGCCCGCAGCGCATTCTCGTTAGTCAAGGTCTTGTAGCGTTGGAGGTCGCTCGCGGATATCTCGACTTTGGCTGTCAAGGTCTTCGGAGCCGTGTCAAGCATGCAAAGCAAAGTACCAGGGGAGACATGTGCATAGTGCTTCATCTGTCCCCTGACGGCATTTTGAGGGATAGCAGCGAACTGGCGTCCAAAAGCGTAATCGAACACTTGTATCGCAATGTAAGATGCCGCAGTAACGAGCGAGATGCTCGGTACCCATGAGTGTTTCCCGTGCTTGCCTCCGCCTTTCGTGTAAATGGACAAGACTGTTCATACCTGAGTAACCTTCACGTAGTTGAAAATCACAATCTGCTTACCACGACCTAACTTCACTGAATTCTCCAGCAGGAAAAAAGCGAACCCGGGTCCTCCTTGACTGGAATTGGCCGGACACAATGGCGCGATAGATGACACGCCACCTTCTTGCAGCACGGCCAAGTTGAAATGTTCAACACTCTTGTACACTCCTCGTCGTCGCGTCAAGAGCTGTCATAGACACGGTGAGCAAAGTCGGAGACAGGAACAGTATGAATTGACCTTTTTGGCTTGGGATGTTGCAACAGCTGCAGCATTGGCCGCGTTACCTGACTTCTCGCGATCAGCGGCAGTACTCGTCGAGGTGTCTTCTGAACTTCCACTTATTCCAGGATTCTTCCATCTTGCCGCACGCTCCAATCCACTTCCGACTCCGCGCTCTTGCTCCTGTTTAATGATGTCTTGAAACTGGCGCAGCAATAGCCGTCTCGGTGATTGACCTGCATCGTCTGTCTGGCCTCGAGTCCGTACACCAGATGCGGCCTGCTTCGTTTGATGGCTACGCCGAAGCGTTACGAGCTCTCTAATATCCACGTCGACAGCGTCCTCGAAGCTGGATTGGAGTGCATAGTCTGCGGATGGAGATGAACTGTCCAGCGCTGGACCGCGGCTCTCTGTGAGGCAATGCTCGATGACATTTGCCACATCAGCTAATATTTCTTCCTCTTCGTGCTCTTCCCACTCCACCAGTGATGCTCTGGTACAGCTTTCATATCAGGTTATGCATTCACAGAGAGATACGTTGGACGCACATTTTCATTGATTCCTCTACGGAAAGAGAGATAGCCGCATGAGTCAACTTCCGTACCTCATCTTCGCGTCTTTCAGTGCTAAATTCCATTTCTTCCACAGCGGCAAGTATACCATCGAGGTGCTCAGCCTCCTGCTCACCATCTTCAGTGTCGGAGACATAGTCACTGTCAGTTTCGTCCTCCCCGGAGCATCCCGCAGCAGCTGGTCCAACTGACCAACTTGGTGTTGAGTGTGTCGAAGATGACACTGTTTCAGGAAAAACACCAAGCAGAGCGAAGAGGCTCTGAGCTTCCTCATGTGCAATGATAGCCATAGCATTGATGTCTTCATCCGATGGGAAGGTGCGCAGGTTAGCTAAATCAGCACCGCGAGAGTCTGTGTGAGTATGATTGTACCCTTGGGCACGCGCTTTCCCATTGGCATTCGAGCACCTGGACTTCAACGCAGATTCTTGAAGCTGTACCAGCAGTTTGGGCACCATATATACAAAGTCAAGCATTGTAAAGTCCTTGACTATCACACGGCAGAGCCCGAAGACGTGTTCACATGTTTCCGTTGTCAACAACCAAGGCATGAGTGGGTAGCGGCCGTTGAGGTGATCACGATAGACATATACAAGTTGAATGATCCCCCGTATCAGTATGCCGACGATAGCGCGTGCTTGAGGTGAGATAAAATGTTTTGCTTTGGAGTAGCCAGCCCTTTCGAGGAAGGATTCCCACATATCCATGAAGAAGAATGCCCGTAGAGCCAGCCTGATTCGCTCGATGTGAGACAGATGTCGGCTCAGGTAGGCATCCATCAGCTCTCCGAAGACAAATAGGTAAACAATCACACCAAGGTGTTCGTCGACATTGTGTTCCGTGAGCCATTGAACAGTGTCAGCGGCAAAAAGACGGCAAGCAGCATTGTCGTCTTGGCGATCTATCTTCTCGACATCACGGCGAAACAATGGACCATCCTCAAAGGCGATCTTGCGAAATAGAGGGTACATGACTGGTTCGTTACCCAGAATCAGTAAAATAGCGCCGGAGAAGGCATTGTTCCGCATCGTCTTGCTCCCATGCTTGGGATCTTGCAGCATTACGATGGGCTGTCCTGTGTCGTTAAAGCATGAAATCGAGAAGTCGAGAGCAGCACACCCTCGGACAGGATGTTTAATCTTGTACGAGAGGTGATGCGAGGATGTCTCGAGGAAGAGGGATTGTACGTTGCGCTCGATCGTGGCGCCATCACATGCATATGAGACCACCTTAATCTGGTGTTCATGAAGGCCGGTCAAGATCTGCTCCAAGTATAGAAATAACTCCGGTGCCCGAACATTATTCGAGATTGGGAGGGCAGCCAGAATAATTGGAGCGATATTGGGTAATGGAATTTGCAAGCACCAGAGCCGAACCTGTTTGTAAAGGTAAGAGACATTACTATTTGCTGTGCCGATAGCCCTGAGATAGTACTCACTTTTGTCGCTTTCTGTAAGCGTCCTTGTGAGACGGCGTCAGTGAACTCCTTCGGATTTGCAACACGGAGAGGTTCTCCCGTGCCCCCGGCTATGTAGAAGCCGTCCTTCTCCTTGTCATAGTAGGGCCGAAATGCGGGATGCAGCTTCGTGTCATCGCAGCTAAGACCCAAAGGACCATCATAGTCAAGTACTTTGAGGTGCTCGTCTACATCAGCAAAACCCAACTTTTTCTTGCAGAGCTATTTTGACTTTTTGGTCTTACAACCCTTATTTAAGGCGATAAGTCTTCAAATAAGTATCAATAAGTCTGATTTCAGACACTCATGTAATATGCATTAGGCCCTTTTTGACCTTATATCCTTAAATAAGGATCATAAGTCCATTTAAGTCATTTAAGCACCCTTTTAAGTAAAAGTTGAGTTTTGCTGATGCTACCAACATGAATGTTCATTCAGATATACTAACAGAAAACTGAGGTTGACGTGCTTCATTATATCTGACACAGAGTTATAAATGCAACCATAGCCAAGTACATGGTGAACGCACCTGAAGCTACGCTCACTGCGACCAGGTAAACTCTGCGTAATGAACCGATAGGCTTTCGGACTGTGAATGTTGATGATATGCATAAATTCGTCAAATGCAGGTGCATATTTGAGGTTCTGCATTCCAACACCACGTTCGAGCTTGTCGTGCTTAAGCATTACAGCTTCAACCAATCCCAAGAATATATCATCCTTGAAGGTGCCGTTCAGTGCACTGATTGCAAAGCGGACAAACGGTGATTGGTTGGCATTCTATGTAGGTCCTTAGCGAAATCTATCATAGCATTCGAGATAGAGTAACGTACCGGCTGCTCAATAATATCACGAAGGCCTACAATGCGGCCATACAGTTCCGCGAGTGCCTGTCCACGATACATCTTATTTGTGAACTTGCAGTTCTTGTCAAGCTTCAATGGTACATGGACTGCATTCTTAAAGTCCTTGTTGACCCAGAGGCTGTGGCAAAGCTCACATGGTGACAGTGGTGTGCTACCGTGGACGATGACTGTCTTTTTGCATGAGATAGAAAAGACTACCTGCAAACTCCAGTCATTATACCACCCCAACCCGTGCTTCTGAGTTGTTCGAACAAGCTTTTGCTGCTTTGTTGATAGCTCCTTGTATCACCGACTGTATTTTTCCATGGCAATGACAGTGACAGAGCGTGCTCCACTGCCGGCAGCTCTCGTACGTGTAATATATGTTGCAACCTGCAGGTGATGCTCGGCAGTGAGACCTGGGCAAGGATATCACTGTGATGTAGGTTCAATAGGCAAAGACTTCATACGCGAGTTCCAAGAGTCCTCCTTATCCATCTCAATTAATGTAGGCATGCCAGCACCAGAAAGCTTGGTGGTCTTGCCGGGACCCTTGCAGGCTTTCAGATGGCGCTTGAAGTGGCCGATGTTGTATGGCTCCTGCATGGTAATTTCCTTGTTACACGGGATATGTTGAACCTGCATAACATTGTCCTTAAAGAATCCGGTTTGTTGGTCTAGAGCACGAATTTTGTCCTGCCATTCCTCAAGTCGCTTAGGATTGGAATGAAATGTACCAGCCCTCACTTTAGAATTGAGAACGTAACATGTGATGCTTGAGCGTGACGTTCCTCTCGCTTCATTACTCGGTGTTTCCCGATGACGCTTCTTTGTCAACCTTCCTGAGCCGCTCTTGGGTGATGCTATGTTGAGTCCTTCAACATCTGAGGCAGTCCGTTTCTTGGTGTTTTTGCTCAAGCTGCTTGGAATGTTCAATGTGGCCTGAGATCTGGCTGCAATCTTTGTCTTTGTAAAATTGGGTAGAGCTCAGTCTCGGTCTTCATTATGTCGTCTCGGCCACCTTCACTATTCTCCACGTCCACCTCAGCAAAGTTCTGGCACATCTGATCACCAATCTTGAAGGGCTCTTCTTGCTCAGTTCATGGACCTGGAACACCATGTGTTGCATTGAATGACAACTCCGTGACTTGATCGACACTGACACCTGTAACAGTGTCATGGGTGGAAGGAATCGTCGATTCCGTGGCATCATCAGTCACTGCTCTGTCCTCGTAGCTTGCATGCATCACTTGAAGATGCAGATTTGATATCACATCATCAGGTTTGTAGGCTTCAGCATGGCAATTGGATGAGCTCAGATCGGGGTTTTCAGCGGCATCACTGGTATGACACAGAGCTACCAAGTCCACCTGAGTTTCATGTGAAGAATACAGCGCAGAGGTGTGTGATACATGTTCATTGATGCCCAAATCCTCCGCCTCTCGAGAGTCCGCAAACTCCAGAACATATTCTGATGTGTCCACAGGATTGAGTAGATGAGGTATAGCCATCTTTGGACAACAGATAGGTGTGGTGTCGGAGACATGCGGCAATGAATAACATTCATTAGTGCAGTTTCTGGGCCTGCCTTCATTATGTCGTATTTCATCCATGACATGTGTCTCCTGTCCCTGTTCAGTCGGCATAATGGCTGCTGCACTCTGCCAGTGTGCGCATATTAGTAAGCGTCTCCGTATAGTCCACTGTGTTCACTCACGTGATCCTCATGGCTGTCACAGAATATATGGAACCATTGCACTCTCTCCAGCTCTTTATGCTGCACCGTCCATAGTGGATCACCAAACACAGCGTGCGCGATGGCATTGACCGTGCAAACCCCATAAGAGAAGTCATCTTGCTGGATCCCATGTGTGAGTCGGTTGCCACACTCACTGAAATGGCTTTTGAATCTTGCTGACAGCCACTGCTCCAGCTTGTCGAGGAGCAATTTGGGTTTAGAGATGTGGTATCCAATTGAGTCCGCTATGGTGACCTTGTGAGTGTTTGCACCATGGCATTGACCGGCAAACTCACCGTAGGAGATTTCATACTGCATGAAATTGATCTCAAAGGCTATCCAATGGTTATGTTCTGGAAGAAATGCTGGAAAGTACAGACATCTCTGCTGATCCTTCTGAATGAGTTCCTCGACCTTTCGCAGCATGGGAGGTAGAGTTGTGTCATTGTGATAGTCCTGCATATTCATCTTCAGGACCGCTGCAGGGAGCACAAGATTTGCAATGATGACTTCCTGAGAGAGCTGAGCATCGACCTCTGCACGATACTTGAGGTGATTCATCATCATGTCAATATGATTATTGGACAACCGGTCATCGGAGAGGAATGTTGTGAAGGTAGATGTCCTTATATTGCCTGTGCCAAGAGCTCGTGTCTGACCATTCCAACTTGATGCATGTAGCCTCATTCGAGCATGTTCGAATGCCTCATGTGTTACAGGATCGTAGCGCTGATGGGACATCCAGTTGTAGCAGCACTTCCACCGTGCCCAAAGGTGAATAATGTCCTGCATTTCTGACCAATACTGCACAGTCCACAGATTGTAATATGTGTCCGCCATGCTTGGATCCAACACTGACCGAGCACTGTCAAGCAATGCTTGGCCAAAGTATGCTCTAAGGTCAGCCAATAGTCTCCGCGGTGGGATAGGATGAGTACTGAGACACCCAGGATCCATGTTAGGTGGGTGCTGACTGAAACATCTTTGCACCTGTGAATGTACAAGAGCGGAACTCTGCATCGGCATTGGCAATTTAAGGAAATCAGTCACCGTAGAATCTGGGTCCAAGATATTCTTGATTTTTTATATACCTCGGGTACCCTAAGAGCATCCTGGTATATGTTCCACAACCCCTGCGGTATGTCAGATGAGTCCGATGGCCATTTTTTGCCTGCAGACACCAGTCCTTTTGATGGAAGCTCTCTTGGGGAAATATTGAATCAACTACAATGACTTCTATTGTAGGCGAGGTGGTACCGAGGCATAGAACGATGGGATTCGCAGGTGATGTCCGAGTGCTCTCACATCAACGGCTTTTGCAATTTTTTTCTCAAATAAATTGATTTTTATCACTGCTAAGTACACATATGGGCATGCATGAATGGGTCGCATCCAGACCTAGCCTGCACGTGGGCGGCGTCTGGCGGCCAACCCCTCCCGGAGGTCCGGACGAGATGAAGCCTTCAGCGGCGAACCCCAGTTAGGTCTGGACATTGCACTAAGGAGTTCGGGCTCCGGACCCCCATTTTGGTCCAGATTGACTCAAGGTTCCAGCGATTTTGGGCCAATTTTGGTCCGGACACGTAGGTAGCCTTTATATGTATTATCAGGGGTCCTGTAATACACCACCACCACCACCAAGAATGAGCCACTGCAGCAGATCTCCGCATCTTCTCCTCACGTGCAAGACATGAGTTTTAGACCACAGCATTGACAGATGCTCTGCGGAGCAGAGTTGCAATCTCGGAGCTTCTTATTCCCCAGCTGTCCACAACACATTGCACACAGCTCGTCCTTTAGCCCGAGGGTTTAAATTAAGGCCATCTGCAAGAATTTCATGGCAATTTTACACAAAACCTTGTCTGAACCTGACATCAGTAACCCAATTCACGGTAAGTGACGTACTTACGAATGGAGCACAATAACCTAGTGTCACCTGCGTGATCGAAACGTGGAGACAAAATAAAATAGAAGTCACGGATGCTCAGCGTGAGTGAATAACAAGTGTGTGCTGCTCTCGAGGCGCAACCTCCAGATTCCAGGAAAATGAGGTGCGCGACTGCCTGATTTGTGAGATGCGCCCGGGTGGCGTTTGCCGTAGTTGAGAGTGGAGAGGGGTGAGTTTGAATTTTCACGTGATAATCATGTGTGTTGGCTGATATGTTTTCGGGATAAAAATTGTTCGTACATCGCCCCCCTCCACTCGAAACTACGGTGGGAAGGAGCCTGCCCTAGACAGTAATAATATGCGCACTGCACAGGGATCTGGCTGTCCGGCGGATTCCGGCGGACCCCACAGGCCCGACCTTCATGCATTCATGAAGAGCTAACGGGTGTTGGAACCAAATGCAGGCATAGTCTGCAGTATTATTGTCCCCTGCTTTACTGAGAAAGTGTATTTAACGATACATATCTGCGGTGACAAGTCTAAGTATTTAGGACTCTTGAAGTTACTTTGTTCCAACTTCGCACATATGTGCGCGTCAAAATCAAAAGACCATCTGGTTTTCGCGTTTTTATCTCTCTTTGTCACACATCTCGATCTGAACCGGTATTATGTAGTACCTTGCTAATACCTTCACTAATCCTTACCGTCGTAGCCAGAAATAATACGTAGCCAGAAATAATATCTATGTCGCTGCGCGTACAAACTCTAGTGTAACACTGGTAATCTTGGCTCTCTGTTGACGTTGTCCTTGTCCTTCTTTGCAAAATCCCCTTGTTACAGACTCGTCAACAACCCCAATATTAATCTCAGGATCTTGGGAAGGTCTCTCATTACTATAGATACCATATCCGGACGTCCAGCGATCAGCTTTGAACTCTTCAGCAACAACGCTGACTGTCACTCGCTAGACCCGACCTTTGCATTAAACCATGATGGTTGGTTTGATCCACTCAGAAGCTGGAGCTGTGACATTTACCACAGGCTTCCCAAACACTATTTGATGCAGAACGATGCCGCAGTGTGCCAGTCGATTGATCTCCCTCCAGACACAATTGATTTCGCTCATCGAATGTTCGATGCAGCTCGGAACGGCGAGACAGAGCTCTTGACCCAGGCTTTGAATGCAGGTCTCCCCGCAAATCTCACCAATGAGAAAGGTGTGTTTCGACAATCGCCCCTCTAACTGCAGTTGATGTCAATGTGACTATTCCTGTCGCAAGGAAACACGTTGCTTATGCTGGCGGCCTACAGCGGCCGTGCACCTTTGGTTCAAGGACTCCTTACCAAAGGTGCTGATCCTAACAGAATCAACGATCAAGGTCAATCACCTATTGCAGGCGCCGTTTTCAAGGGAGAAGACGAGGTTGTGCGCATTCTCGTCAATGGAGGTGCCGATCCTCGACTGGGCACCCCGACCGCCATACAGACGGCACGAATGTTTGCCAAGAAGGATCTGCTGACCGTTCTCGGTGCAACGGAGGAGGATATGAAAGACGATATGCCCACGCCTTCCGGCCTTCCAACCTGATGAGAAACATTTACTGAGAAAGGCACGCAGTTCATGACTTACGATCTCGTTGCCATGCTCAAATTATCCCCACAGCGTAAGATATATCCTGGAGGCGGTATATATGCACAGATTGTAACACATAAGGTATCATATCATCGACATGTCTACCCTAGTTGGCCACCCCAACCGCCGGCACCGACACCCATCTCTTTGCCGACTTCCTTCAAGCATTCTTTCACCAACGTTCTCGCATCGAGTTCGACAGCGCGTCCTTGGTCCATATCTCCGGTAGCTACTTGGCTCCAGCTCACGCTCCTCCTCGCCTCTTCGGGACTGGCGGTACTCGAGAGCGATCGCCGGGGTGCATTTGTCATCACCCAAGCAGTGGGTGTCTTGCGTGGAATGGAGACAATCTCGCAGAGAACGGGGTAGAAATGGAAGAGCGGCGCCTTCGACGACCGTTTGACCACATCGGCGATGAGCTTTGACGTCTCCAGTGACTGATCGATTTCTGATATGTATATCAGAGATGTATGAGTGAGATCACAGTACTCAGGGCAACACAAAATACGAACTCGGTTGGTCAATGCAGTATTTCGAGGGCGAATCGGACAGCGCGGCCCACAACGTACCCGGCCAAAGTTGCAAAGCCAATAGTTTTTGAAGAACGTACAACAATTCTTCCTCCCGAGCTCTGTTGATTCCCTGTAAGCAGAAGTGCATGGATATCTCGCCGAGATCACTCACCGAGGGAAGGGTAAATTTCCACGCAAGGCTTCGTCTGCTACATAGCTGACAAGAGTGATCCGGCATCGTTCAAGCAGCGACGGAAGGCTCAAGGCAGCCACGCGTTTCCTCGACTGCACGCGGTCTGAAGAAAAGGGACTAAACAAATACACGTAAAATCGCAAAACTCAGCCTACCTTGAGCAGTATCTGAACATATCAAGAACAGCAAGTCAAAACACCAGTAAGAGAAGCGTTCTCGAGGAAGGAAATGCCCGTTCTCCGTGGTACCGATCCCAAAGTTAGGGTCACCGAACCGCTCTGTCATCTCGAGCTCATGAGAGTCGCGCTGCCCCTGGGTTTTCGCTCGCTTGCTGGGCTCCTTGGCATCTAAGGGAGAATCGGGGATAGATGCAGGGGAGGGAGGTTGATAATCCACAGGGTCGCGCAATCGACTGCCCTGATGCAGAACTTTCGCAAGCTGTATTACGAGGTAATCCGGCACAGATTGGTCGCCCAAATACGGGACAACATCAATCTCCAATGCACCAATTAGTGCAAGGTCGAAGTTTTCCTCAGCTTCTTGGACGTCCAGTGGGAATGTCTCCGCGACAGAGCTGTTAGCACACCGTTGTCGGTACTTGGACAGAGCAGGGCTGGTCATCGCACGCACCAGTCGGCGAGTATACCTCCGCGGAAGGCCTCTACGACCTGTCGCCAAATCCCTTCCTGATGGTCACCGAGAACTTCTGCTACAGATTGTTAATGTGAAATACCAACTGCTATATGATGCGCCTACCTTCCCCTAAATAGCGCATCTGAGGGCCACATTCTTTCACGATCCGCAGGAAACTCGAGGATGCAGTCTTCCACAGAGGAAGGTCTTTGCCAAACTTTGACGCCGCCGGGCATTCGTACTTCAGCTTTATAGGAATAGCGTAAGCCTGAAAGGACGCGGCCACCCGTTAGTCGCAGTGTCAGCGAAGGACGGCTCAAGACCTACTGAGAAAATCGTCTCCAAGGTACCATCAATATATATCGCGGCCTGGGATTTGAATCGCAGGAAAAGCTCCACAAGCATGGGCATTGTCTTCTTTGAGAGCGCGATATATGTCACACGTTTTGGTGCAGGACGAGGTTGGTTCGAGCTAGACGGGCTGGCGATCAGGGGCGCAGTCGTGTCCTGTACATCAAACGCAGCGAGGAAGGGAAGAGTCGCGAATTCGGAGAGGTCGCGAAGAACTAGAGAAGGTGCTCCAGTGGTGAACAGGTCAATACTGTCCACAGCTTCCATCACCGCTGCCTGAACACCCGGTCCTTTAGACAGGCAGTATCTGTAAGAATTCGAAGGCTGACCTGTACCGGGCTAAGAGCGTCTATGTCTGGCCTGAAGTCTGGTGAGTTGGGATAGGTCACAACACCTGCACGCAGTCATGGGCTTCGAATGCACGACGTGGAGATAGTCTTAGAACTCTACCTTTAAGGATGGACATTAGACGTCCGAGCCGGTCCAGAGACCATTCTTCAGCCTTGAATTTCATACCGATCGATCTTGTGCTACGGATGACATCGACGAAGGCCATAAGGCTTTCCTGAGTGAACGGTTTGACAGCTGGTGGAGTATTTGAGGTCGCTTTTGCAGAAGAGGCAGACGGATTTCTCTGTAGCACTGCATCTCCCATGCTATCACACGCCTGCCACACACGCTCAAGCGCTTCCAATGCACGAGTTGTCACCTCGTCGTCAGTATCAGCATATGCTTTAATAGCCTTGTCCAAACATCGAAGTGCCGGCGCGCTTATTGAACGATTGTCTCGAAGCCACGAATCTTGCATATGACCCACAAAAATGTCCCAGGCATTGACGAACGAGTCAAGTCGCATAATCTTGGAAGTCAGGAAGTCTTGGAATATAGAACCGATTGATTGCAGAGCAAGGATTTTAGACTCATCCCACTGCAGGTCCAGCGGAGGCGATTCTGCAGTGCTGGTGGCCTCAGTCTGTCGAATTGCAGCGGTCATCGCGTCAAGAAGCGGAAATGTGACCTTCCAGATACATTCATCCCAAGTCGCCAAACTCAGCGTAGCTCCATAGAGCTGAAGGCTGCGGAAAAGAGTTTGGATAGCTCCAACACGGACTTCAGGGCGAGCATCGGTGCACAGGCCCAAAACTTCGAGTAGCAAAAACATCCACAAAGCGCTGTACTCAGGTTCTTTTTCCACGTCCTTGCGCTTCGCCTGTATTGAGTCCGACACCCCCCAAAGTAAACTCTCGGCCGCCGTGAGAGCGATATTTGTATCAGCTTGTCGGCCAAATTGGCCGAGTGTACTGATACAAAGGCGGAGATGTTCGGGGGACAACGAAGATAGCGAGTCGCAAACCAGAGTCAACGACTGGAAGGCGATCTTGACAAGGGAAGTGTATCCCTTGTCAACTACGTAGCCTAGAGGAGGGGGCTTGTTTCGCGCAGTGTCAGGCGTGGAGGGAGACGTAACGAATGTCTCAGGATAAGACGGTGGTGATGCGGGCTTGCAGACACTACTCAGCATCTCGAATATTGTCTCCCATCCCACCACCAGTGTGTGTCCGGATGCCTGAAGAATCTGGTGCAAGGTCTCAAATCCCATGCGTCTTAGTTCCACGGTCGTACTATTGCTGACAGCCGTGCTCTCTGGAATGACTTGCTGTGCCAGGACATCCAGCACTTGACGCTGAACCCTAGGCTGCAGATCACCACTAGTTGTAATGTTGCGAGGCACTACAACCAAGATGTCATCGAGGATACGAGCGGCTTGAGTTCGAATAGTAGAGGGAGCAGCAGCGTTTCGGATAACAGAGAGCAGATGACTCGTGATGGTGTCCCATGCGATGTCGGAAGACCTGTATATAAGGCGGTGTATGTTCGAGGTTGATACGCCACCCAATTTGCTGATTCCAAAGTCTCCAGAGCGCTATTTAACACGTTATTCGTGATCGTAGGGAGAAATCAACAGGAACCACTTACGAGAGTGTGAGGCAAATGTATCCCGCTGACCCTTCTACGATGTTCTGGTAGTGGCGAGAGACTCGCGCTGGTCACCAGCTCTTCGACGGAGTCTGTCTCCACCACAAGCGGCTCGTTGCCCTCGGACTGCATCCCGATCATTGCAGCACTCAGCTTGCACAGAGCGTTCACAAAATCGCGGAATGCTCCATCATCTAAATTCTTGGATGCATCGAAGAGGCGCTGTATCGCGTGCTGTAGACTGTCGGCATCCAAGTCAGCTAGGAGAGGATGCCGTGCGTGAGATTGCTGTTGTGGTGAAGCGACAGTGCCCGTCTGTGCACCAGTTTGGGAACCGCTTGAGGCCGTACGACCTCCGGGAAGATTAATCGCACCAGGTCCAATCGTATTCCGTTTAGCGGTAGAAGGGCGCGCGCCCCTGACTGTAAGGACATAGTCCGCATTCTGAAGTGCCTCTAAAATGTCGAACCAGCTCTCCCCGAGACTTCCTGCGAGGAAGAGAGCACTAGCAACGAGAACTTTCAAGCAAGCCATGTTCCGCTCCGACAATCCTGGTGGTTGCACCGCTCCAGAACCCGAAAGGGACAGACCCAAATTTTCGGTGATTGCACTAGCGGCACTGCGGGGCGTCATGGACTCGCCATGCGGATGCGAATAGGAATCAAGACTGGTGACTACACGAGTGGGTATAGCCAGTCTAGCAAGGCTTGTGAAGAACGCATCGCGTGGAGTCGTTAAGCCGAGCATGCCAGATACAGTAGTAAGGGCTTGGTAACTTGCGAGCACGTCGACAAAGAGTTCGTCGGATAGATTGGTTGATATAACAAATGACAGTGCAGCAAGGAGAGCAGGCCATCCACTCTCCACCATGTCACGCACTGTTCGCAACTGCTTCGTGGTGGCTTCTTCCGGCGGTAGAGATGACAGATCCAGAGCTGGCGGTGCCCGGATGACAGGCTCGCCCGCAGCCCTCGGTCTCTGAACCATGATCGAGTTATAGAGTGGGGTTGTAAGAGAAGCAAATCCTTCACAGAGGGCGACAAGACACTGGACACCCAGAAGGTAGATATACGGTTCCGGGATAACCGGAGAATCTGCCTTGTCAAGTTGATCGATGCTGTGTGCGAGCCATTGATCCAAACCACTACTATCAAAGAAGCGCTAGACTTACCATTGCAGCTTCATCGCTGACCCATGCAAGGTTAGCCCAGCTTCGGATCCAATCATGCTCGCAACGCCGGAGACGGTAGCGCTAGCTGCATTGGCGACCATACCCGCCACACCTCCCACATCGAGTGCGTATGAACTTAAATCAGATGATGAACCAGCGTGAGTGGGAACACCGACACCGAACATCTGGGAGCACACGCCGAGCATGGCAGGTTTTTCGATGACGAGGCGCTTCAAGGCAGTGATCAGGGATGTAAAGACTTTTGATCCTCCGTCTTCCGCGTCATACCGATCCCAGACGTTGCGCATCAGCTCGGCGTCACTGCACAATCTGCGTACAGACAGAAGTTACATAAGAACGCAGGCTAAACAAAGCGATATGTGCATACTCACCCGCGCATGATTTCCATCGCAAGTACACGCATCCAGAGTGGCCGAGGACCATGTGGATGACCATCAACAGCCTCGGCCTCGCTGCCATCAGTGCCTATAATCTTGATCAGAAGCACTAAGAACACCTCCGACTCAGTCTTCAGCTCCAATGAAAACTGTTTCAAAAGGAGGAATACAACGCGCGTAGCGCGCAGCGTGAGGGGAAAACTCGGTCGATCGGAGAGCGATTTGAGCAATAGTGGACATAGATGGTGCTGCAACAGTAGAAGTAATTCTGTATGCTATATCTTGATACGTCAGTATTCGTATGGGTATGGGGCGTCATCGTTTACCTTCCTGAAAAGATCATGATAGTTTGTAAGCACACTTTCTATCAATTCCAGGGCGAAGGTCTTGCGCAGCACTTCGAGCCTCAAAAAGTGTGGGCGCTCCGCATTTGCCAGCAGGCAGAGATCTTGAAACACAGCGAACGCGTCTTGAGCCGACGGGCCGAGAGTCTTCACTGTCCCGTTCGGCAGGCTAGTCTCCACAAGAGCATTAACATCAACTTCATCTCTCTTGTCTTCGTCAACCACCTTGTCAACCACAAACATCACCAGCTGCCGCAGGGTTGCTGCAGCTGTTGAAGATACCACCGCGATTCGCGATTCCTGCAGCCTGAAGCATAGCAAAAGAGCCTAGGATTGCATTCCAGTCAGCGTCTCATGTAGTAATAATGACATGACTAATAGCACAGACATCACCGAGTAGCTGACCATGAACTGCCGGGAAGTTCGTGATAAGTGACAAGAGCGTCTGTAGAATACGCAACTGGATGTCAACTCCTTGGTTCATGCATTCACTCATCGTGTTCATAATAACGGGAACCGCGGATTGCGGCACTGCCTTGAGAGCAATGAGGCGTTGGAGGGAACCAAGCGAGATAGCCACGACTTTCGCATTCTTGGTTGCGCATCCCATGAATACGGGGCGAAGAAGATCGTCGGACTGAGGTCCATCTGTGTATGCATTAGTACCAATAGTACATACATACATGATCCACCACGACAGAAGCACACCTGACGCCAAATTCGCTGTCGCCTGCTCCGGTGATGAACGGAGGATGGCCAACGATTTCTCTGCAGCCTACGATCGAATAGTCATCTTCCATCAGCGTGGTCCCGCATGAGCGAATGGAGCAACAAAGACCTCGCGAACATCAGGATGTTTCCGACGGGTCTCACTGGCCAGAGACTTAAGACCCATCAGAGATATACGATAATGCCAAGAATGACGATACCCACCTGTAGTTCTGTCACCAAAAACGCGAGAGAACTCATGACAAGAGCTTAAACTCTCCAACGCGGTAACAGACGATCGCTCAACGAATGCGTTATGGATTAAGCTTTCAAGATACTAGTGCTCACTTCCAATGAATAACTTTGGCTGAGACCAAGGCGATGCAGGTCACCCACCCGCGTTCCTGCTGATGACACAGCGCTTCTGATATCCGGGTCGCCACCGTGTTTCTAGTAATCTCTTTAGTTCCGTGTCCTTTTCAGCAAAGTGTAGTGGAAGCAGAGCACACTGGAAAGTGTCCTAGTAGATTGAGACAGAGTCACCGCCACGTGATCTGGAACAGGCCGCGCCCTGGGGCCGGCCGGATTCGCACACACGGAAGAACGGCCTGAGACAGGGAGTGGCCTGCGAGACTCGGCCGGAGGTTCCCCGTTTCGCCGAACCGCAACCTGCTCGCAGTATGAACGACAGCGACAACTACTTTTCAGACACCCACCACGCTGAGAGTTCCCGTCATGCTGCAAGAGGGTCTGGGCTGAAGTTGGTCCTTCCACCTCTTAGTGCCGTTCAGGCACTGAAGGGGAAAAAGCGCAAGTTTCTGGCGACAGATGAAGTCGTCAAGAAGATTCCTAGGCCCCTCAAGCTAAAGCCTCTGCGCGAAGTGCTCGCCAAACTAATCGCACAGATCAAGAAGTGAGTTTTATCATGTCCGCTTGATGCACGATCTCTAAGACATTCCTGGGGGCAGGAAGGACGACTATGCTTTTTTTCTCAAGCCCGTGGATGTATCGCAAGTCACTGGATATACTGATGTCGTCAAACGACCTATGGATCTTGGGACAATGACCACGAAGGTGAACAAGGGAAAGTATCACTCGCTTGAAGAGTTTGCCGCCGATTTACGCCTGGTGACAATGAATGCGAAGACGTTCAACCCTCGAGGTTCAATCTACTATACCGAGGCTGACCGTATCGAGGCATATGCGCTCGATCATATTACCAAGGCAGCAGCCAGCGTTATCGAGTACGAGACCGATTGGAATATAGAAATAGAACGCGATGACGAGTCCTTGGCTGGCGGTGATGATGAGGACGGAGCCGGTGAAAAGGGTACGCCGATGGACGTTGACGAAAGCACGCGTGCTCGGTCCCCCTCTGCAGGCTCTACGCAGGCTCAGACACAAATACCGATACATTCTCATGGGAGGCGCACCGGGAGAGGTGGGCCTGCAAGCGCAAAGAAACCCCCTGGGGCACTGTCAGAAACTGTAGAGGCAGATGGGGGTCTTCCAGGAGCGAAGGATGGGTTGGGTGTATTTCCGCCTGGATCAGACTGGGCAGCTCTCATGTTGGCTCTGAAGCTTAAAGGCAAGTGTGTCTTGCTGCGATTTTATTATCTACTGACCGTTGTTCAGGTAAGCGGTATCGCACGAAGAAGGAGCGGTTGCGTATGGAGAAGGGTGGGCCCCCTTATGCTGCAGATGGCAGTTTGGACTACGCACAAAGTATGTCCTTTGATTATTATTGGGGTGTTTTACAACTTATATCTCCGTAGTGGAGTCACCATTCTCCGTACTCTCGTACTTTGTTCCTGACCCGCCAACCCGACCTCTTCTCGCGCCCCTGTACCCCTCCCAATTGTCTGTTCCCGCTCCGGTCAACATACATCCCCCTACGTCCATCCCATATCTGCCATCTCTCGCGACTTCGAGTGCCACCAGGAAAACCGGGCGGCCAAAGTTCAAACGGCGGCATTGGACTATCATCAGAAACGTTCCGTCACGAGGACGCGGGAAGGATAAGGACGAAGAAGAAATCGAAGTGCCGTGGAGGCAGCCGCGTGAAATTACCGCAGCAGATTTCGGCGCATACACTACCATGGCGACAGATCTCGCAGTGGAGAGCGGCATGAAAGAATCTGGAGCTGAGATGAGGTCGGAAGGTGAACTCTTTGAGACGATAAGGGGGAGTGTTGAATGTACCTCTGCGCGGTATTCTCACCAGCAACCATCGTCAAAACGGAACATCGAGATACAGGATGAAGGATCCGAAGACGGGTATTGGCGGGCGAAGGCGAAGGAGGCCGAGGAGTACGTGCGGGATGTCGTATATGGCGGGGTAGACGGATTGGCGTATGTACGCAGCCTCGCGGAATTTGTCAGTCAGGCTGACGCATCGGTCAGTTGTGATTTCTCGCTATATCCGGTTTTGTTCTGACATGGGAGTTGTATGCAGAACGATGTCGGTGAGCCTCCGACCTACCAAGCTTTGGGTGCGCCTCTCGCCCACTGGGTAGAACATATATTGGTGGATGCTCTCACTTCTGGCCGCCATCGCATCCTGTGCGACGCTGCCCGACGCATGCAGGATCCACGGTACTCTGTCGACACCTCTACTGTTGCCCAACTTGACCTGTCGCAGAATGTGTACCCCCATGCAGCCCAACAATTATCTACTCTAGTTGAAGTTGCGCGTCGACCCATTGACATGGCTGCTCTCATACAGGCGCCCGATGAACTCTTTCTCGCTGAAGACGAGTGGGCTGGGGCCAAATTCATGGAGGATCAGCGGCGAGTGCTAGAGGAGGCCCGCGAAAGGGCTCTCGCAGAGGCGCCTGACAAGAGTGCCGCGGAGTATCTCAAGTTTGCTGTGGACGCGCATCGGGACGTTGAAGCGGTGGCTAGTGCTGTGCAGGAAGGTCCAGAGTTACTGCAGCATGTGCTGAACTATGCGGCAGACGCTATCATCGACATAAACGGCAGAGGACAGACCGACGTAGGAAAGGAGAGAATCGAGAGGAGCGAAGATTGTAAAGGAGAACAGGAGCGGTCAATGAGGAAGTTACGACTGAACTTACTGGCTCTGGCAAAGAGGGCGCCATTGGACCAGATCACCAAGCTGCCGTCGGACTTGGTACCAGAGTACCTTCGGAATGTTGTACCCACCACTGGCTCGTGAGCCTTCCCATCCGTAGACATACTTTATAGTCTTACTCGACATCGGGAATCACCTCGTGTATCGGATAGGTTAGAGATCATTGTCCCGCTGAATGCAAGCTCTCGGTTGATTCTCAATCCACGATGATGAGTGGACGTACAAACAACTACTCGACAATAGCGAGCAGTTGAACGCTTGCAAACGGTCACAGGAAATACTGTCGCACTGCATGAATGTAAGAGATGTATTCTATCACCAACGAAGATCTGAGAGTAACTAGTCAGGAGGCGCAAAAATGTACTACGCTCATTCTGCCCTTCACGTCTATAACAAGTAACGACTGTCTTCCTTGTCTAGAGGCTGATCCTAGACCGCAAGTACGATAGTTTCCCATGCTCTGCGTTCTCTGAAAAATTCCCGCTCACGGAGCCACGCACGGAGATACGATGTGCTAGTCCGAATGGTGAAACGCGAGTCTTTAAGGCCTTGCTCAGAGGTGACGGTAGGAAGACCGCAAACGCGACAAACTTTCAGTCGTCTTCCGCGTCATGCACCATGTTCTGAGTCGACGGTCAACGCGGTACTTATCTTCGTAGCTCTTCTGGGTACTACAACCAATATGCATCAGGGTTGCGTGCACGGCAAGAACGGCTGTTACGGAAGCGGAGAAGTACTCACAACTGCATTGGGTGGTAGACCACACAGGCACATGCAATTCCCTCGTGGGCTGGCCAGTGGCCATGTCCTCCAGACGCACGATACGTAGAACCGGGACATGCATAAGCGCACAAGAACCTGCAACGCCGTTGAGCAGCACAACACAGGGACTTGCTTGAGCATCGAAATGACCTTTGGGTACCGATCCTGCATTCTTCAAATGTACCCAATGTATTAGCTCGAGAAGATAACCTGTAAATATTCGGCTTGTGGAGGGACAAACTTGGAACGAACGCGGAGGAAGATCAGGAATCCCATCAACAGACAGCTCATATACTCAAAGGGCCTATTATACCATAAGCCAACTCCACATCGTCAGACGCCCGTTCCACCGAAATCATACACCACCACTACAGTCCGCCCTTGAAGACGAGCAGATACGACGGGTCGTAACGGGGAGGCTTTATTGATCACCACATCGGCAACGATGCACGTATGTACTGGCAGTGCACTAGTACTTGCGCGCAATGCCGAACCATGCCCATGGGAAAAGGGCCGGAACACACCTGACATCACTGCTAGTGTGACAGACGCGGTGTGTCACAAACTTGTGCCAGCATATGAACAGCCACGCGCCACAAGTGGCCACAATCCTATGTGGCGAAGCAGCGTGGCGGAAAGGTCGATAGCAGTCGAGTTCGACTTCTTCCCTCTGGCTATCCAATGGATATGTGGCACGGGACGCCCAAGGAATGGACCACAGATCAAAACACACGGTGGGATGTGGCGCAGACCTGCAGGCACGAACAGCCTTCAGCCACGGCACATTTCTACAGTCATTAGTGTAGAGCCCCAACACGCGGCCTGAGCCACAGCGCGAGGTATCTGGCCTCCGCGAGCGCCAGATACGGAAGCGGCCGCAGCGATGTATAAAAGTCCGAATGTGGCGCGTATTGACCAAGCACATCTTGTCCTCTGATTTGTATGTTCCCCTTTCCCCGCCTCACCGTCGACGGCCACTCACCTGTGTTCAATCCCTTCTCATCACACGATCTTCGGCTACTCTCTCCTTCGACGTTGTCGCCCCCGTAGATGGCCACCAAGGTACGTCCTCGCTGTGGACGCCAAGAGTGCACCTTGATCACCATCTTGTCGTCATAGTGTGGCGTCGTCGTCAAGAAGTTCACGTCGGTACACACACAGGCCATAAGAATATCGGCCTGGCATCAAGAATAAGATCGCCGCCGTGCAGGAGAAGCTCGACCATGAAATTGTGTGAATCCCAAGGGTATTCAATCTAGATCGAGAAACGTGAGACACGGTCAAGACTCCCCAACAGAGTCATTTCCCCCGTGTGCACCTTGATCTTATCGAAGTACGTCTTTCTCCCTCGTCCTGTATAGCTTGAGCATCATTCAAGGAGTACGGATTGTCATTGTTAGCCCCTTCGCCTTCTTGGGTGTGCTATGCACAGATGGCCATCAAGGTGCGTCTTTATCCTTACATACCATGCATGCTTATGAGCAAAATTCTTGTCTGCTCGTTGCCGTCGACGACTACGCACGCCACATCAGAGTAAGACAGGTATGTTTACTTCCTTGTACCCACCGTCGAAAGTTCGTGTAGCTGATTTGTCGATGTACTCAGGCCATAAATGCAAGAGTGTGACATCAAGAACAACACCGATAGTCCAGAAACGGCCCAGTGGCGAATATATGTGTGATCAAGAGAGCCAGCTCAGCAGCGTAACACGATTAAAGCACCAGCCGACAAGAACATAAGATGAAATATTGAGTCACTCAGATTGGTTTAAGATGCCCCCGGGGAGCATTGGATATAACATGGTGCGTCAGTTGCCAGTTGAGACTTGATTCATTAAACAGTACTCACCAATGTTTGCTCTATTCGTGGAAAATGTCCGCCCTGCAGATGTGCTGCATGCACATATAGCCAGTAAGGTATGCCGTTCTCAGTCTACCCTCGACTGGGACTGACGGCATTGAATCAAGAGGGTGAACGTGGCAACGAACGCGAACATGCCCAAGCGCAACGACACTGACGGCTCCGACGTTCTCAAGATTCTGGCCTTCGGCGGCGTCGGGCTCGAGACCCATCCGGGCTCAGGATCAGGACACCGGCACCGGAGCCCTGGTGGGCGAAGAGGCATACGACGGAGGAGGAGAAGAAGAAACCGAGAGCAGCAGAGGTAAAAGACGAAGAAGATCGTACCGACACCCCAATCAAACACGATGGCGAGGAAGAAACAAACGAGAGGAGTAGAGGCATTTGACGAAGGAGAAAAAGGAACAAATGGCCGATCAACTCGACGATAGGAAGAAGACGACGCACGGATGGGATGGAGCGGGAGTTAGGTCGAGGACACATCATAAGGTGCGTCCCGAGGTACGGGCCGACGTGCGATTGCACTCGTCGGTCCTGGCGCAGGCCTTTTCGTGGCCCTTGGGATAAGTACCCGCCTGTGCTTGTCGCTGGCGGGGAAACCAACGTGCGCCGAATTTCCTTGTGTTTCGACTTGGTTTTCCATCGCGCCTGTAAATTGTCAATAAACGGCCAGGGTGGTCACGGTCTGCTAGTTGGTGACGCGTCGTGAGAGCTAACAGACGCCGAATCATGGGACAACATCCATCATCCAATCAGATCGATCTACCGTGAACCACCACGGTACGGTATACTGCTTCTGATATTAGTAATCTTCTCTCACACCTCGAGGCAGGGTTTCTGCCCCCTTCTGGAATATATGCACCTGCATAGCCCCGCTGTTCGGTTGGCCGGTGGACGGAGCTACTAGGGACGCGAGCCGTATCGCCTAGTTACTTCATCTTCTAACTGGTGCTGCGATCGAGGTCTGGCCGTCTAACCATGGGACGCAGAACATGGACTAGGTGTAATTGGACAGGCGTACGTTCAGCGCGTATATTTGGACCTGTGCGTCAGAAGGCACAGGAACGAGCAACGCCTTGAAGCGCCTCACCTCGTGCGTAGTATTTGCGCTGTTCTGTGCCCCCGTGTTCACGCCTGCGGTATTCGGTTCATGCGGTAGACGATTGCCTCATGTACGTGGAGAAGGATTTTCGCCGCTTGCAATGGCCAACTGTCTCTCTCTCAGCGTATGGGCGAGTCTCTTTTGTTGTCTGCATCTCACATATTAACCCTTTCTTTACTGCATCTGCGTGTATCATTTTCTTTTCATCTCCTCCGCGTTCGTGCTTTCCTCACATCCCTACAAGGCTTAAATGCAGTCATCTGGTGATCTCGCCAGACGGCACGCACTTTGGATTGAGTAAGTACAAGTCGCACTGGCATTATCCTTACTGGTAAGTGTTTTCAGATCCTTTCGATTCCGAGCCGTTCAATTAGCGATACTGTGGATGTTGTGAGGATGCTGTTGCTATGTCGTAATTTCTGCATAGCATACATGTCTCTTCATTTTCATGAAGGTCTTTCCATCTCTTAGTAATTGTTCTGCGTAGGAATCGCCGGAACTTAGCGGTCATGACGTTCCGCAGTGAATCTAGTATGCGGTCCTTCCTCACTTTCTATCCAAGGTTTGTGCCGTTGATACTCTGATTTCAAGGCAATTCTCTGTTACTAGTGTTCCAAGTCTCGGAAATATCAACGATTTCGATAACTGAAGTTGGAAGGAGGCACCTGGTGGGCAGCGCTACTGAACGTAGCGGAGCGCGCAACCTCAGACGCAACTCAATTAAAGCGCTTGATCAGCACTTCGTGCTCTCTTGGGAGCTATCTGCACGGCATGCAAACCTTATTATTCGGAACGTGTACTCTGCGAGGCGATGTATCAATCGCGGTTAAGCGGTGTGCTGTCCGCCTCGTTGCAAAGCTGATATCCCTTTCATGACCCCTGGCTCGAAGTCGTAGAATGTTCCTTGTGGTGAGGGTTGATCGAACCACACCATTGAACCGCATCCACAGGTCTTCTTGAACCCCTCTCCCATGTACTTCACCTCCGCTGTGCGGTCTGTACGTGGACAGCCTCAGCGGCCCCAGCCATGTCAAGTTCTCTTAGTCTGGACTTCGGTCGCTCCATGCCGATAAAAGGAGACTGACAGACGGCCTAATACTTCAAGCTTGTCTCCCTCTCATGGCTCAGTCCGTCAACTCGGATTTTTACGACCCGCTGGAGGGCCGTATACCCTCGTACGCCTGTGTTACTCTTGTGGCAGAATTATCACTGATCCGTCCCTGCACTGTCACTGAAGGGTCCGTTACAACCCTCATGATCCGGAGAGCGTGGCATAGTCAGTAAATCAGAGAGAATGAGCGTGAAGTCTTTGCTAACTTAGTGATATCGCAGCAATATAGCTGCCTCTTATAAGCGCACAGGAAAGAGGTAGAAATTTTGCATTTGTCTCACAACTCATGTCATTGACGGACTCTTTCATGCTTCGGTGTGTAGCACTAAGAACTCCTCGACGTGAGTGATATCGTGGCTACATACCGCAGTTCACTCGGTGACCTGGCTTCACTGTCATGGTCATCAGTCCACCGTTGTTCGCGCTCATCATTGGGATCAACTACTACAAAAGCGACAAGATCGGTGATTTAAGAGGCGCGGTGCCTGATGCTAATGCCATACAGAACTTCCTGGAGAATGACCTTGGGGTGCCAAGAGATCACATCAGGAACCTCCGTAACAAGAAGGCTACCAAGGTTGCAATCCTCACCGAGATCCGCACCCTCTCAATGATGGAGCACATACATCAGGGCGATCCCATCTTGATATTTTACGCTGGGCATGGCGGTTCGGCACCGGCACCGGACGGCTGGCAAGGGCCCAAGATTGAAATGCTTCTTCCATGCGACTGCGAGGAATTGGATAACGTATGGTCGAATGTGATACCCGATCGTACGTTTGCTAGTCTTCTCGACAGACTTGCGGAGGCAAAGGGCGATAATATCGTATGTTTTCTTTGTTGTATGTAAGGGTGATGCATTTCATGGCTCGTCATTCTCTACAGACCGTCATTCTTGACTGCTGCCACTCAAGCTCAGGCACTCGCGGGGACAATGCTGAATGCATGGTCCGCGGGATCGACATCCTGGATTCTCCTTCGCCCGATCTTGATCGCCAAATCTGGGGCGCTACTGTAGATGGCAAGCGTGCCTCTCAACCTGCGCCAGGTTTTGCACGCAGTGGATTGAGGTCACACGTACTCCTCGCAGCATGTGGTGCAGGAGAGCGGGCTCAGGAATTTAACAAGAGGGGGCGCTTCACGCAAGCTATTCTCGAACGTCTGTCAATGGCCGGAACGGCCAACATAACATACAAGGAATTGATCCAGCAGATCACTCCCTGGGAGGAGTAAGTCCTGTTACTTTGAATAATCACAAGGAATTATTGCTTACTCGCGTCCAGGCAGAACCCTCAATGCGAAGGTTACAATCAGGGTCGAGTGGTTTTCAATTCTAAGGCACCCAACCTGCGGCGTATGGTATTCGAAGTTCGATGGGAAGGAGAGAAGTACGTCATGAAAGCAGGTGCTGCTCATGGGGTTACCGATGGGGCTCGCTTCGCCATCTACAAGGACAGAAGTGTGACCTCAAATACTTCGCCATTAGGACACCTTACTGCCCAGAAAGTTGATGAATTCACCACAATTCTCGCGGCTCCTCCCGGCGCCCCCCTATTCGACCACGATTCTATCCGGTTTGCATCTCAGACGCATGCGAGCATGTCGGAAAGCCTTCGCGTCCACCTTGACGAGAAGCTGGCTGACTTGTTTGACGAACCCAATGTAGACCCATCGACAGAGCACAGGAGCGTCGAAATGGTGGACAAGGCCGACGCTGAATTGGACGTCACGCTCGAGAATGGATTTGTCGTTTTCGACGTGCTGGATGAGGAGATCACACAATTCAACTTCAAGCGCCTTCCGCACGAAGTTGAGCCTGTTATTTCTGTTATTTCCCTGGTCATCCGCGATGCAGTCCACTATTACTGGCATCTTCGGCGCACCAATCTTTCACACCCTCTTCGAGATCACGTCAATTTGGAGTTCACGAAACTTACCGCTTTGAAGGACCAATTCGGTGATTTCTTGCAGCCTATCACGACTCCTATCGGAGAGAATCTAGTTGGTTGTGATAAGGTTGTCCGGCTTGTTATCGACGACGACTCTTCCATGTATGGCATCAAGATTACCAACAAGTCGAACATACCAATGTTTGCGTCTCTTTTTTACTTTGACAATAGCGACTTCAGCATCTGTGAGTTTGTGTTTAAACCTGAATCATCGTATTCGTTATTGACTACCTTGCTTCGCAGCGACCTACTATCAGACGCCTACTGGGGCAGGAAGAGTCGATACGCCCTTGCCTCCCAATGGGACCCTGACCGTCGGCTACGGGTCAGGCGGCGCTGTGCCCTTCAGCTATTTTCTGCGAGAGGGGCAAGATGTCGACGTGGGACTATTGAAGCTGTTCCTCTCCACGAAACACGTGGATCTGTCATATGTGCCAGTACAATCGGTGCTGAGCTTTCGCGAGTCTGGCCAGCCTCAGCGTCACACCACCGTGAACAAGCCGGAGGAAATCACTTCAACGTGGGATACATTGACAATTCCCATTGTCCAACTGCGGCCTCAGCCTGAGAAAATGAGTGAGCACCAGGTTATTTCCATACTCCAGAAGACTAATGGATACACTTCCAGGTTCTGCTTAGAGTCGTGTGAGACGAAAACGATTGTGTCGTTTATGATCACTAGACGTTTGTTTCAGAATGCTATAGCTGTCCGTCGTGAACCCGTTGATCTACGGACTATGACTGTGTAATCTCGACTGATCTCTTCACATTCAGAACTATGGCAATACATGACGTTACATCTATAGGGTGCCAGCTCCAGAATAACGGTGAAAGCAAAGGCGGCCAACGGCGTCCAAGGGGAGAAGTCAGGTCAGTTGTTCCATCGGTCGCCACCCGCTGTGATTTCTTCTGTAAATTTGCTCTGGCAATGGATATTCGACTGTCAGGAGCAGAATATGTGGTTCGTACTCACCAAAACACTGGGTGGAAATTTTTCCTCGAGTTCGTAGACCAAGCATGACACAGATATGAGCCCCTGAAATATATCACCAGGGATATCATCCACAGGAAACAGAATATATCGGAGAAGGGTGGTAATGCAGTAAGTCAAAGCCAAGCGCATACAAATTGCATGCTGGTATGCAAGTCGTGTAGGGAACAGGTAGTTACGAAGACACTGACGAGTGCTCTGTCAAAGACAATACCGTCAGTAACATATCTAGCGAGACCGACAGCCACTCGACCTCGCAGCCACGGCACAGAGGTGCTGACTATGCTGTAGTTCTAAAAAGATAACCTACGAGGCGTAGAGCTGCTCGAGTCCGATCACGAGTTTGATTTCGATGGTGAATTATTCAGAGTCGTGCCTAACGCTACAGCCGCCGACATTTTCTCCCCCCGTCTCTGCATGACCATACCTCCGAGGATATCTCCATGACTCTTGATTTCTGTCTGCGGCACGGTGGAATAAGAGAGCGAAGGCGTACCTTGAGGACAGCACCCAAATGCACACACCACGTTCTGCGACTAGTCGACTCGTTGATGGACAACTTTCGGCTGAGCCTTGCACTAACCTCCTCGTCAAGTCCCAAGTCGCCCACTTGTCATCGAGTACTAGTAGCGCAACGGCAGATGAGCTTGATGTTCATGATCCGCACTAGGCCTTGGTCATCTTTGGCGGCTTCATCCGAGTCGGTCCCGCATTGAGAGGCGTGGAGAGCGTGATACTTGGAATTTGATGACGCTATTGAGCTTGAAATCAGTGCCATCGGTGCACTCGTCTTCTGCACATGCATTGGTGGCGCCCGATCGGGGGATCAACGACTGCAGAGACGACGGTAGAGTGAGAGGAGCAACATGATAGTAAGACGGGGGGATAAGTCCGAGCGCAGGTGCTTCTTGAGGCTTAGACTTCGCTGTAGAGGTTTAATGAGCATCAGGATGACAGTAAGTAAAGTGGAAGAGGACGACAGACGATTGATGCGGCCCATCATCTGAAAGAGCCAAATCTGCACGATCGTGCATAGTGAGGTAACGTTAGCTGAGGTAGGAGGACCGATCTCCCGATCAGTATACGTTTAAGGGCTCGACCGCGGCCAAGCAGAAGACTTGTATTCAGCCTCTTCTATCGGCGACCTCCTAACGTCATTTGTCGCAGATAATTCGAGGCGAAGCATCCTGTAATGGAGTAGTTGTGCATTAAGTTCCACAGAAACCTGAGAATGACTCTAGTAATAGATGTAAATTGCTCAACGAGGGAGACAATGAAAACATTGAGACTCACCCTCTCGGCTCCACCCATCATTAACATGTTATCCTCGTCATCTGCTACGTGTTCTGCCGTCGCTCGGAGCGTGGTAGTCTCTGATTAAATGTACGATGCGCGCGTAGCAAAGTGCGGTCGATATGCGCTCAGGCGATAATTATCAAAGAGGAAGCGAGACGAAGTGGGTGAAGCAGACTTAGAGATAGTAATAGTAGGAATATTCAGTAACGGGGCACCCATACGATTGAATCTCGTAGATAGGTACCTCAGCTGGTGACCTGGATCGCTCACAAGGAAAGCCAGTGTCGTCGTGACATCAGCTGTGACGTGTTACGTTTGTGAACGTGACGACACGCGTCGACTTACTCTCCGTCGCCGTCATCGAGTGTGCATCTCACCAGCCGTCATTAATGTCGATGCATCCATGTTTACCGCATTCTACGATGTGAACACCACTGCGCCGAGGTGGCGTAGCATTTTACTCCTCATCCTCTCCAGCGAACTTCGTACAGCGTCGTGCAATGCACGCTCGGCTTCCATATTATTGGGAGAACATCTGGGTCATGAATGTGGAAATGGCGTGCATACATGTCCTCCGCCACCTGCAGCGCGGCGGTGTCGCCGATGGACCAGACCCTGGTAGCCAGCGAGCTGCACCCCGCGGCAAAGTGCACTGCATCCTCCCCTGACCGTTATCCATGCAATCTTCTCTGTCAGTGAGCCCTTTGCCTCTACCACAAGTACTGTTGTGTCCGCTTCAATTATGTGGGCCAGCGATAGTTAGATGATGCGATTTACTCTTGCTGCACCCTCTGCTCTCGAAATCAGGACTGTCGTCATCATTTATCATATACATCCAGTCGCTTTGGGTGACCTCTCCCGATGCAGCAACAAGAATATTTCCAGGATTTCAGGAGCGCTAGGGACGATAACGACCATGGCGAGGGGCTGTGACTCCTGTGATAGGCGTTCCTTGGAACCTTAGTATCCGGGTTCTCATCGCCAGTGCACGGCCGAACAGCAATCAAAGGACATCCTCGGTGAGCAGGACTAAAAGCTCGCAGTTGAATCACAATTGATAAGGGTTCTCGTTCTGGTACGTTTATAACCCTTTCATTTCCGCTACATGGCCTTTGTGCAGATAGCCTCCTCAGTGGCGCAGCAGCGACCACAGTCTTGAAATATTCTCCGCAAGCCACCATAGATGGAGCACGGGCAGTTTGCATAGCACCTCGGTCCGCGGTATCCGGGTGAATGACTTTCTGGTACCTGTGTACATCTCCGGCCCTCCGCGCCTGCCTTGAATAAGCTTCAAAGAATCGTAGATAGAGACACAGGAAGCATTACCACTTTTATCCATTGGAAATAACCTGGCAAAAAGCATGGAAATCAATAATATATTTTCAGAGGAAAAACCTCGAGAAAAAAGTGAGAAAAGAACAAAACATTCTCACGGTTTTTCCCTTGGAAATAAGTTGCCTACCATACACCGCAAAACCAAGCTGATGTTGGCGCGACAGGCGGTCTATGGAGCAGACAATGCTCAAGTCAGATTGTTCAATCGAGGTGGTTGGGTAGCTCAATAGGATATTCAGAGGCTCGAGGCTGCTTTGATGTCGCACAAAAGTGTTGTACTGAGATTTTGAGTCAAGATTGGGTTGCCCCTGAGCCGTGACCCTTGTCTGACCTCGGCGCCGATGTCATTGCGCTGTTTGGCTCTTATGTTGATAAACTCTTGCCTCTCAAGTCTCCAGCAGGCTTAACAGCACAGTCGGCATGATCATTTTGCTCAATAAATCTATGTTCTGTCTTAACATGTCAATCCTATATTATGCCCAATGTCCTTCAGTAATTATGACTGTCCCCGGGTCGCTGAGCGGCTATCATCATTAGGCAACTCGCCTCTTTGCCTCTTCCTTGGTCTGCGCTCAATATCCATGTCAGTGTCAGATGTCTCGCTCTCATCCACATCCTCTGGTTCCACCTCCATGTCAGTTGTCAGACTGGGTCCCACATTTTGGACTTGTACTGATTGCGCTGTCTTCACTGCCTTGTTTCTTGCTCGTGTTGCAGCTGCTTTTGCCCTGGTTTCGGATCGCTTCTTGTCTCTGTCCACCCGGAGAACTGTTGCCAGCTCAGCATGCCATTTCACACGGTCATCAACAAGTGCCTGTGGAGCAGTCAATGTCCGGGGGAGGCAGCGCCGCAGGAGATGACTATTGTGTAGTGCATGGGTATTGATGACGAAGTGATTGTCATCATTGTGAAATATTGTGCATGCAACTCGTCCAGTGAGCTCTCTTTCCTGAAGGATGGAACGTGATGCAGTTATTTGACAGGCACATGTACAACAATCATGTTGCACATTCAGTATAAACTGAATGGCCTACGCTGTTCTATTAGAGTGACTCCCTTGATACAACTGCATATAACTCACTTTGGATGGAACAACATGATATGTTTTATGAGTGTTACAACGCTCCTCACTTGTGGCGCGTCTTTTCTTTTTCTTTTCCTTGTTCCCTTTACGTTACCAGACCACGTGATCCAACACGTGACTCATCGGAGCGCAACCTCCGATTCTTTATCCAGATGTCCAGAACCCCTAGTCTAGGGTTACACCGGATCCAACTCCGGACCTTCTTCTTATCGCACATGCAAGACGTGCATGTATGCCTCATCTTTACCTCGTTCTGATACACGACTCGTTATCCCCATTAGTACTGATTATCTCTCACGACCTTACTCAGCTTTCCCATACATATTACTTCCTCGCTGTTACCCTGCTTAGACATCATTTCACCTTATCTAGCCAATGAACGATCCTGCATTACTGCGTAGTACTGCGGATACCTTTTGTATAAGTAGACGACCTTGTCGAGCTGGATCCCCATCTCGACCTGGTTACCATTAAACCAGCTTTTCACTTGCCTTTGACTGAGATCGACCGTCAGTAGCAGACAGCTACTACGAGTCATAAGAACGAACTCTGATCGACCTTCAGTGCGAGGACATCGCCAGAAGTGTCACTCGAACGGACTTGTGTCTTAGACTAAGACCTTGTCTCGTGACGACTCGACTAGACGCTCGTGTTTCGCTGCCGCGTAACATTAGGTCGAGATCTTATTACTCTCTGTGACTTCCTAAAGTCTATCAATGAACTACCGACTGGACCGAACCTTGAAGACTAAACGATACACCCGATTCGATTGCTAAAGCACCGTTTGAGATTACTCTGTAATCGAGGTAGCTGAAGGGATAGACTGATCACTCATCTTCGGAGAGGGGTCTGTCCGAGAGACCAATAGGCCGAGGAGGCTGAGGTAATCACTCGAGCAATCAGCAAATAGGTGTATCAGTTTGAAGACAGAAGACACTCTACGGGCTTGTTAGCCGACAATGAACGAACCCACTTAGTTAAGGACGGTGTGCAGTCTACGTGTAGACATAGGCCACACAGAAGAATTTATCCACGCTGGATTTTAACTACATCAACCCGACCGCTCTTCCAGAGCAGTACCGCGAGCACCTCCCATCCCAAGCGGAGTGGAGCACAGAACGAAACGCGCATTTTATAGGAGGAAGGCCTGTATTCATCAGGCCAGACAATCACAACTTCGACTACTCCCCAGAGGAATTTGAAAGGACACTTCCCCATAATCTTGGTGGAATAGTGCTCCAGCACATCGCAGACAGCGGTATAATGACCTCCTATCCAGGAGAAAGACCAGACGCCCCTTGGAACCCCCCTGCCCAGAATCCTGTACCCCAACCGACTCTTGCACCAATCGTACCCGATTACATACCACCGATGGCTACAGTTACCATGGATGAAGGACGTCACCATGCTAGCCAGAAGGAACTTGGTTTTAGAAAACCCGAGATCTTCAACGGTTCAGACCGTTCGAAGCTTAGGGAATTTATAAACCAATGCAAGAACTACATGGCCGGAAATAGCCATGTCTACCAGGAGGACAATCAGAAGATCGCATTCGTGCTATCGCACATGCAAGGAGGAACAGCAGGATCATGGGCACAGAGCTTCATAGAAACGGAACTCACCAATGACGACTTCCTTTCTTATGGGAGTTGGAGAGACTTCATTGCAAGTGTGAACAAAGCATTTGGCGATGAAAATATTGAAGAAACCGCTCGTACCTTGCTGCGTAACATTAAGCAAGGAACTCGTACTGCGGACGACTACATTGCCGAATTCCGATCGCTTGAATCCAAGGCGAAACTAGAAGATGCCGGAAATATCGAGTATTTCAAGTGGGGACTTAACGACCCACTCCGACAAAGGATATATGGGATGGAAAGCATGCCCAAGACACTTGACAAGTGGTACGAATACGCCTCGCGGTTTGATAACCAATGGAGATCTGCTCAGATCTTCAAGCGAGGAGCCACTACGACGACGCGAGGAAAAGGCCGATCTGTCCATCGTCCCTACTACTCGGCTTCTGCAAAGGATCCAAACGCGATGGATGTTGATCGTGTCAATATCTCGCGCTTATCCCCAGACGAGCGACAGAAGAGAATGAAAGAAGGATTATGTTTCCTATGCGGAAAGAAGGGCCATATAGCCAACGACAGACAATTTCACCCCCAGTCTGGAAGTTTCACCCGTGCTAGAACGATACAGCCCGGGTTAGACACAGACACGATCACATGGATCAAGAAGATGCGAGAAGACCTCGCACAGAAGAAGGAGACGTCGAAGGAAGA